AGTTCTCTATTAAAGAGTTCTATAAATCACTTTACTGTTTTCAAACTATTTCAGTCAACGTAGAATATAGTGACGAAACAATAATTAAGTTATTTTCTTCGAAAAAAACTGCTACATCACTTGCGAAGGAACTTACCTATACCTGCCTGGTCAATCGATACATTCAGGGAATACCTAACGTTGAAGTTACTAACCTCATAAACTGTAAAATGAAAGGCAACTCGTAAACAAAAATATGGCCTGTATCTTTCAATAAGATACAAAAGATTCAAGAGACAATCCTAAGTTAGTTTCTCTTTTACTTTTATTTTGCAGAAAATTAAAAAAACATCCATAAAAAAGCGTGAAAAAATTAAAAAACAACAGAGCTCCTAATCTTTGTTTTGCTCTTACAGTAAACATTCTTTGCTAAATAGAAAATATTAAGGATATTAGTATACTTCAAAAGTATTAGAGAAGGTACCTCATACTAGCTAAAAGAAGAATCTGAACTAAAAATCCATTTAATTGATCACAAGTTTTTGATATTACAAATCAGATTCAATTATTCCTTAACTTAACTTTTGTCTGAACTCAAGTTCTTTCACGAAACCCGTAGATTATGTTCGATTTGTTGAAGTTATTGTCCCTGATCTTGTAGAAAAAATGCTTTAAAGTTATTCTTCCTGACATCTTCCGAAAACACAAATGCAAATGAAACATCAAATACAGCACTCGGAATACTTTTTATTTTTAAGGCACTAAATAAATTTTCGCACACAGCTCATATTAACTAGAATTCACATCTAGACTCGAAGCTTTAGCACAAGCTTCCCATTCTGCATTGGGGGAAACTAAAAATGTTTACTAAGTAACTAATAAAAAAGTAGAAAAAAATTGATGTCAGCTGAACGAAGATGTGTTATAATTTTTGCTGATTTTCTATTCCGACTATCTCTCTCCATAAATTCCTCAGGATAAGTAACTAAACAAAACCAATTAAAGCTTCTGATTCTGGTTGTTTCTACGACTAAAATGAAGTAAATTCGTTTAAGATTCCATTGATGAGTTTTACATTTTTGAGATGAGAATTCAATATCCTGAAAGAAACACGTTGTAATGATATCCTTATTTAAATTGAATTCTCTAAAACTAACAAATTTCCAGGTTCTGGTTTTGCCTTATCTAAGTATTTCTGAAGGTGTAATCAGAACTTTGAGTGAGCGCTCTCGTGTATAAACGAATCGTGATTTTTAAGGTTAGGAGCAATTATTCTGGAAATCTAAGTTTTGATCACAGAACTCACTTCTGACTTCTTCGTTTTTCGCTGCAATCAACTTAGTTTTAGATAACCGTTAAATATCTTGCATCGTCGTTAGCAGATTGTTTTTCTTTTGGAATTTGCTTCGATTGAACCACTTCTACAGTTGGGATATAAATAATAAATGATTTATTACTAAGGTAAAGGAAATTGTGGCACGAAAAAGAATACAAGCAAATTAAACAAAACACTCAAATAATTGTCAGTTAGTATGGATTTAGAGGTTTATGACTTATCAACAATCGATCCTAAAAATATGATCTTCTCCCCTATGTCTAAATGCAAATCCAAATAACTTAGTTCAGAAACTCTTCAGGGTGAATTTTAAATAATAGATGAGAGATAAGAAGTGAACAGGAAGAGGGCTCTGAAAAATGGTCGTGATCAATTAGTCACTAACGAAGTAAAGGAATGATATTGATATTCCCTTGATACGCAATGCATCATATTTATTTTCAAGATTTAAAGGTTAGTAACTGATCCAAACTGTTCATACCCTGACGGATCCATCTTGAGATTTTGCATATGGACTTTTTTTTTTCACCTTTAGGTTGTGAGTGGCCCAATGCTATTTGCTTATATCGTTCTAAATCTATACTATATAAATTATTGCATCATAACTAGAACTGTTGGGGAGCATTTATGTTGCTAGAGAAACTCAAGTTCAAATGAAAGCAAACGATTAAAAGAGCTTCTGAAGTCCCTGCATCTTCTTTTAAGTTCAAATAGCAAATTCGGTGCTGCTTCGCAAGTAATAAGGAAAGAGAGAAGAAGTATTTTCAAAAAAATACGTGAATCCAATTCTCTTGTTCAGTATATGGAAATATCAGCATTCTTCTATATCCACATACAATAGTAGGTAGGTTCAATGGATTTCATCCCAAAAGCAAATTTATTATCCAACAGGTTAATTACTCGGAAAACTAAAAGCTCCACTGAGAACAGTTCTTAGAGATAAAAATTGAGATTTTTAGAATGAGGACAACATACAGAATCGGAAAAGCGTTATTTTTTATCTCTTTTCTTTAAAACTTTGCAATTGACTTTCCATATAAATTGCCCCCCATCAGCGCTAGGCTACAGACTAAACGTATAGCTAGCAAAATTAGTGTTTTGTTTTGAATCTCATTAAAGTCTGAAATAAAAATTAACGAACCCAAGGTATTAGATATATTTTAATCGCATCGGAGCAAACGAATAGTGTTTTCTGCTTCCAGATTCTTATTTTGAAAAGTTTAGTATTTTAATTTTATTTTGCCTTGTAACAATCAATTACTTTTGATAAGTATTACATCTCATTACAATGTAAGTTTAAGGTGTTGCGAGAATATGGAGGACTGTATAACGGTATCGGCTACACTATCCTGCTAAACAGGGGTAACAACTTCAGAACATTAGGAATCTCAGATATGAGCGAGTGAGTGCCTTACATTTTAAGTAAACTGAGACCATTAGTCCAACTGGTTAAGTCAAAGCTTAACAGTGAACTTCGTACTTCAATTACATAAAGAAAGTTAATATTCAAAAATAACAAGTTCGAAAATAGAGGGTAAAGAAAATAGAAGCCCATCAATGTTTTTTTTCCTACAAATCTACCTTTAAATAGATATTGGTCCTTGTTTGGCTTCTTCAATGATCAACTCTCTTCTTCTCGGAGGACAAACTTGTCAAAGGGGACTTGATATTATATTGTAGTTGTTGATTTGTAATAGGACTTCAGAACTGTTATTTGAAACGAACCAATATGATGAAAATAGAATGGTAATGTCCATAGTCTCTTGGGGGTTGTTCAGTAGGTTCTTGGCGTTCACAGTAATATCTAAAAGTTTTTAATTAGTCAATCTCTGAAACCTGAATTTTAATTCTTTTTTTTTTTTTCATGGAATGCAAACGACGGTGTATATTGATTGAGTAATGGGTTTCCAAATATACATTAATACAATTTGGTTAAAGAAATTAAATCAGTAAGAAAAAAATTTGATTTAGAAATCTCTCTAAATTTCGGTTAATCTAAATTAAGTTATATCAACTAAAATTTACTATTAACTAACAGAACCCTATTGTATTTGTTTTACTCTTACTTTGAAGTTTTTTAGTTGTTGAATATATAACTTTCTTAATGTTCTGCGAGATCAAAGTTTTGAAGAAACACCTTTATAAACCTGTAGTCGCTTTTGCGTTTTACAAACGAGCAACAAAATCCATTGATCCTATCTAGCGAGTAAGGTCCAAGTTTACTTTTTGATAAAATTGAGTTTTGATATTTCGCTGTTTATCGAGTCAATGGAGAAGAGTATGTTTACTCATTGACCTAGCTGTAGCGTTTACTTTTAAAATATGTATTAGTTTCTTCAATTAGCTGAAGGTGAAGTTGGTGAAGATACAGCTCAGTGAAATTTATTTTAATTCAAATATAGTTTGGATGCTGAAATTTTTTTCGAGCCGAAATTTTTTCCATAGCTAATGAAGGATATTGCTAAACAGAAAGATTAATTAAAAAAAAACAAAAAAAAACAAAGTGGTTTCATGTATTAGACAAATGTATGAAGTTTATGAAAACAGAATAGATTTCAAAACGTTTTATTTCACTGTTTTTGAAATAGGCTTTCGCTTTTACTGGATATTTCATTTGATTTCTTTTGATATTTGCTTTCAAATCACAAAGAGAAAATCTGATATTAGATGTCTTTTATTGTGTATAGTCTCTTTCGCAGTTATTGTCTGGGCTACTAACCGGTTAGTTGAAATTCGAATTGGAGCTGCAGTGCACTCATACTCAAAGAATTGTAGTTACAAAGATAAGGAAGTAAGCCCTTAACTTTCATAAAAATTCAACGTAATGCTGAACTCTTTTTTTGTTTCCCTAATTTGAGATAAAGTGTATTTTTTCAAGTTTGCATGTAAAGGAACGATGTAATCCTTCGATACTAATTACTTTGTTTGAGTTTTGTAACAAGTTTTCTTTCAAGATTTATTGGAAGCAGTCTTTAGTATTTGAATTTTTCATGACAGTAGTAATAGGTCTCAATGAAGAAAAATGTAACGGGAAAATATATAAGGGTTTGAGGTGTAAGGTTATTTTAGTTTCTCTTCGTCTCTTTTTGAAAAAAAAATTACTTGTTCAGTAAACAATTATTATTTAAAAATCATTGTCATTTAAAATAATGAGCACTTGGACACATAATGGTGAAGCTAAGCGAAAACAAGTCTATATCTCTAATTAGGATAAATCTTTTCAGATTATCAATCGTTTGAGTTGTCTTGTAGCCTCAATTTATTGTTTAACAAACATCATTTGATGTAAATAGTTATTGATCTCAATCAATATCTAGCCTTATTTTTGAGGGCACTTAATGATTGTGTTTTCATTTTTGATTTATTTAATATAGTATTTTTGGTACTGTGTTCGTTTTAAGATTTAGAATCCCAAAGGAGAAAAATCAAGAACTTCTTAATTGATTTGAATCGTTTAGGCTAAAGTGTCGAATACGAGTTGAAGAGATTATTTTATTTATATTGTAGCTATAAAGATAGTAAAAACGGGTTTTTAAAAAATTTGTAGCGATTATATCTACATAATTTCCGTTAGGCTAAGTATATTTTGCTAGTTGAAGCATTATATCAATGTGGATTTAAAACTATTTAAATTTAGTTTTATCAATAAATATAGATAATTTTGTCATTAAAAGTTAGTATTTAAGGGCGTGTGGCGCAGTGGTTAGCGCGTTTTCTTCAGGTGAAAAAGACCCCAGTTCGAACCCGGGCACGTCCAGATCTTGAAATAAAAACAATTTTTTTTTTTATCGTTTTCAGTAGTTTTTTTTTTCCTATTAAGGAAATAGCTTTTCTCGAAGAGAGTTATTTTACTAGTAAATTTTCTATTTTTCGAGGCCGAAAAGAAAAGTCAGATTTGTAGCTAGCTAACAATAGTCCCATCGGTGTTCGCATACGTAAAGAAAAGTGTGGATGGACGTTTTTGGCTTTTGTGCATTTTTAAATAATAGTCATATCTCTTATCAATAAAAGGTTAATAATAGAAAATGGTGGCAGTTGATAACAGAAATCTAGCAAGATATGAAAGGTTTTAATTTTAAAACTTTCACTATAAAGATCACAGATTAAGTATAGAATACGATATACCGCATAAATTGAAGTACTTTATCATGGATTCTCGAAGTTAGATTTTTTTTTTTTGTTTTTTTTTTTTTTTTTTTCAGTATGCGCATTAGAATAAATCACCAGAGTTTTTCTAGTGAAATTAAATTTAGCCAATATATGCGCAGCAGAAGTACCAAATAAGTGGAGCTACCGTAAGGAACATGAAGATTTATGTAGAAAAAAATATCAGGTTATTATTTATTACAGAAGTTTTTTTAAATCTTCGATGAATAATTTGTCTGATACTTTTAATAATATGTACTTTTTTTTTAAACAATTTGTTTAATACTAGTTATTTTGAAGTATTTAAGAATTTTTTTGGAGCATTTGACTATAATTATTTTTTATATATTTGAATGAACAATATTTTTTTGATAATAATATCATAACAGAATATAACATATATAATATTTTTCAATAACAATATTGTTGATTGAAGTTAGTCAAAGAATAGTTTTTACTTGCATGAACAATGAGTAATAATAATAATAATAATAATAATAATAATAATAATAATAATAATAATAATAGTAATAATAATAATATTAATAATATTAATAATAATAATAATAATAATATTAATAATAATAATAATAATAGTAGTGATAATAATAACACCAAACTTGGAGATAACAAGTTGTCATATGAAGCAGATTTACAGCATCCACATCACCAATATTATAGGGAACAACAACAACAACAACAACAACAATTTCAAACTTATGCTAAGAATAGTACAGTAACTAGTGTTGGGGGTCCTAGCATTGCCAATCCGATCTATTATACTCAACCAAAAGTTCTGCAACAACAGATTGTTAACCACAATGCACCAGTTAGTCCTTTGGTTGAAAATTTAGCCAAAGTATTACCACATCCTCCTCTATCAATTGCTCCTATTAATCCAGAGTCATTATTACAAGAAAACCATCCTCGTAGGGCAAGAAGACGTTCCAAATATTCGAAAGAACAAGATCAAATGATTGTTCAATTGAAAAAAGCTGGTAAATCATGGGTTGACGTAGCAGATATAACTGGAGTTGGAAGTTTCTTAGCTGCTAGAAATAGATATCAGGTTTTAATCGGTCAACAAGGAGGAGGTACATCTGAATGTAACGCGGAAGATATTGCCACCCTTCAGAGTTTAGTAGACGAAGGAGAAGTTGAGAAATGGAGATTCTTAGCAAAAGAATTATTAAAATCAACTGGTAAACATTTTACCGATAAACAATGTAAAGAAATTATTAAAATATTATTTTTAAGAGATCCTGAATCTTTTGGTGTTACTGAAGAGTATTACAAAGAGTATATGAAATTAAGATCCAACAGTAAGTCAACTCCAGTCTCAACTCAAAGGGTGTTGTCTACAAATACATCGGTGAGCTTACAACAGCAGCAATCAAACACACAACTACAACAACAAGTACAACAAGTGCAACAGCAAGTGCTGCCATCGCATCATCAACTCGTACCACGTCAACAACAACATCAACATCAACAACAACAGCTGCAACAACAACAACAACAGCAGCTGCAACTACAACAACTACAGCAACAACTGCAGCTGAGACTTCCTCAGATGATCCCTCAACCTCTGCTGCAGTTTTCGGGGCTTCAATATAACAAATATAACCCATCTGCGTTTGGTGGAGGACTCCCTCAACAACCATTCGGTCAGGAATATTACGGAAATTACAACCGCAGCTATCAGGATATGAGCAACAGCTATGGGCAGCAACAACCACAAAATTACAGATTTGAGTAATTTGTAATTTTTATGGATGTTTCATAGAAAAAAATTATATATACTATGGTAAAATGAGATGTTTAAATTGAAAGTAGTGTATTAATCTATTGTTTTTCTTATCGGTTTGCAGACAGAAGCATAAATGAAACAATTAGGAGATACGGATTAGAACCTTTACTTTACTATGTTTTTATTCATCTTTCTTTTTTTTTTTCCTTTTTCTTTTTTTGATAAGAATATAATTAATAGGTAATTAATATTCCTTGTAATAATTATAGTTGTACGTCCTGCGTCTAACGAAAAATAATTATTATTATTTTTTATTCTTTTTAAAGAAAAAAAATAAAAAATAAAAAAAAAAAAAAATGAATCAAGTATTAAAACAAACGATTGAATTAACAATTAATCAATACTATTCAAATGTAGATCTCCATTCTCTTTATTTCATAGTCATATCATAATGTCTTCAATATCGGAGCAACATTCAAAAGATGCATATATCACTATTTTATTGAATGACGATTATTTGCCAGGTGCTTTATTGTTACTGAAAACATTGAAAAAGACCACTGAAAATGACGTGATACTATTAATTGATGCAACAGGGCTTTCTGAGAAGACACTTGAATTAGTTTCAGAAGAATTTGATAAGATTATTGAAATTGAACCTATAATTTCTACATCAGAGAAAAATTTAAGAATTTTGAACAGACCAGATTTATTTAAGACATTGACTAAAATTCTGATATTTGATCAAACTGATTATGATTTTTTAATTTATCTAGATTGTGATGTTTTACCTTTGAAAAACTTAAATGGATTATTTAATATTTTAAAAGGATCAAATTATGATATTGCAGCTTGTCTGGAATCTAGTTGGCCGGATATTTTTAATTCAGGGGTTTTAGTTTTAAGACCAAGTAAAGAAATTTTTGAAAAACTTTTAATTAAATCTCAAGAATTAGACTCTTCATTTGATGGAGCTGATCAAGGGTTATTAAATGAATTTTTTTTAAATAAATGGCTAAGGTTACCATATATAAACAATGTCACAGTTAATACTAATTTAATTACATTGGAAAATTCTTATGAATATTTACCTGCATACAATAGATTTCATCAAGATATTAAAGTATTACATTTCATTGGTAATAAAAAACCTTGGTTTTCAAGAGATATAGAAAATTATTTTACAGGAAATTTGAAAAATTTCCATAAATTATGGTGGGAAGAATTTGATAAAAATTATTTTGGTTATGAAGCTGGTAAAATTTTTGAAGCTTCATCGGGAATTACTCCACCAGTTATCACCATTCCAGGAGAATCTTCTTCATCTTTACAAGACAAATATGGCAAAGAGCCACAACTGCCAAATTTGGCTGAAGAAAAATTAGTGAATACTTGGGATCTTGATATTGAGGAACAAAATAATGAACCTATTTTATCTGATGAAGTTATAAATGAAGAATTGCCTCCTCCTATTTTCCCATGGGAAGCTTATCGTAGAGATCCAACAAGGGTATTTACCGAAATTCCAGAAGTGTTAAAAGGAGATTTTGACATGGAACAATTAAATCTTGAAGATGACTGATTAGATTAAATTTAATTTAGACTTAATTTTACATTCGTTCTTTTTTTGTTTTAGTACTTATTTATTTTTATTTAATTTTTTTTTTTTTTTTTTTTTT